TTCAGCCTTTTGGCTGTCCCTGTTGGTCCCGCATGGATTACTTTTATTTTGAGCGCAACTTTTTCCCCAATTTATATGTGTGCATGCTTATGCGCCTTCATAGTTCTATTTACCATATTCAGTCCTCCACAACAATCTCATGTAGCCCCTTGGAAAAGTTAATTGCCCACCCCTGGTCTAAATTCTATTCCACATTTTCCAATGGATTTTTAAAGAATGCCAATTTCTTGAGATTTCCATTCTTCTGGGCTTATTTAATTTGTTTGTAGCATTTTGGCACTGTGCTTTCTTGTAATTCATGTTTTTGTTTTTTATTTTTATTTTATAAGCAACCTTTTTTATCAGCAAATATGCCCCTTTTGATATTTAAGTAGGTTTCTTAAATATGCTCCTTTTTCTAATTCTATGCAAGGAGTGACCCATATAATGTCAATTAAATGGAATTAAATTGAATTACATTATACATTTGTACCCTTCGGCTCTTTTACTTTAAACACTTAGTTCATTTTCTTTAAAAGAAGCAAGCCATATCCAGGTCACCATCTCCCCACCTGGCCCCTTTCATGACTTAGTTAAAAGTCAAGTTTTTTCATTAGGCAAAGTCAGGGAAAGTGTCCGTGTGTGTTGAAAAATCAAAATGGTGGCCAGTTTTGAAAATCCCACAATAGAGGAATGGATCATAAGAGTGGTGTGGTGACCTAGAGGTGAAGATGCTCACCTCCCACTAGGAAGGTTGAAAGTTGAATCCTAGGCAGCGACAGATGTTTCTCTATCAGGGCGCAACGACAAAATATATGCTGTGAACTCCACATAGACATTAGGAAGGGCATCCGGTCTGTAAACGCTCAGCTCCATTCAGTCACTCTGACTCCACCCTGAATAAAGGGATTACAGGGTTGTAAAAAAAAAAAAAAAAAGAAAAGAGGAATGGATCGTAAAATATCAGAATTGGTGGACATGGTGGAAAGAAAACTGACCTGTTTGGTTAGACAGAGGGAAAAAGTGCTTTTGAAAATTGGAAACATTTTATGGACTTTTTGCTAAAGGAAGAAAAAAAATGAAATGATGTTGTACAGATTTAATTATTATAAAAGATGAAAATTAAATAAAGGGCTGAAGGAATTGCTGGAATAGTTAGGAGGGTAGGGAGATGATGGGTTTTTAAAATATCTGTTTTAAAAGTAGGTTGGAAGTCATTATATTTCATAACTATAGTTTTCTTCTTTCCTTCTTTTCTTTTTCTTTAGATTTGACTTTTACTTAATATCCTTAATAAATATAAATTTTAAAAAATCAAGAGGGTGGCTGTAATCAAAGCTGCATCAGTTTTAAATAGGAATCACTTAAAAGCAGAGGTGAAATTTACTTACCTTCCCTACTGATTTGCCAATGTGCACTTTGTGTGCGCTCGCTCTGCTTGCATGCACTATCGTCTATGCATGTGCAAAGCCTTCTGCGCATGCACAGAGGCTTAAAATGTCACAAAAAGCAACGTCATGACATCCGCGCGGGTGGGCGGAGCCTCTTATCGGTTCGCCCAAGCTGGATAGAACCGGCTGGATTTCACCCCTGCTTAAAAGCTTAAAGAGTTATGCAAAACCAAAAAGCGAAAGTTATGGAGGGACAAATATTGTTATGTGTCATGACATCATGATGTGATAACTTGAATTAGACTTTGTGATACAAATCCTAAATTGTAAATTCAACTTGGCACCCCCTTGTATGTTGAGATTGCACATTCCAAATTTCCCAATCAGTGCAGCAGACTGGGAATTGCACAAATAAAGGATACCAGATTGGGACAATGGAAGGAAAGAAAAATCATACAATTACAGGTAGTCCTCGAATTATAAACATTTGTTTTGGGACCATTTAAAGTTACAACAGTACTGGAAAAAAAGTGACATGACTGGGCCTGACACGATTGTCGCAGCATTCTCACAGTCACACGATCAAACCTTTAGCTATACAATTTAGGATGAAAGTTCTTTGAATGGTGTGGGAGTAGGAATGGATTTCCAGAGGAAAAAATGGCAAACTACAGAAACCAGGAGCACTACTCAGGTAACCCTGAGGACACAGATAAACCTCCAAGTGCTTCAATGACCCTCTAAAAGGATGCAAATGACCAGCTGTCTTCAAGGAATATAAATCCTTCCATTCCCCACTATCCTGTCAGAGCTGAAGAAGCTTCTTGGATGAGAAGCGAAATGTCTTCAAAAGAAAAAACAAGAAGGTCCAGTTGCCTCCTGAAAAAGCACCTTTGGGACAACCATGACCTGGATGACTGAGAATCTCTACAGATTCACATGATCAAAATCCATTTGTTTGACCACCGGCATGATCTTAGTTGCAACAGCCGGGTATCATTCCCAGCCAGCTTCTGACAAGTCAGGAAAGTCAATGGGGGAAGCTGGATTCACTTAACGACTGCATGAATCGCTTATAACTGCAGTGTTTTACTTAACAACCATGGCAAAAAAGGTCATAAAATCTGCAGTAACTCATTTAACAATCACTTTGCTTAGCAACAGAAATTCTGGTCCCAATTCTGGTCCTAAATTGAGGGTTATCTGCATTGTCCTCACATGGCTTATTACTTGAAAATCAACAGTTACTATCGGGATCATCCTCCTGAATATTCATATCATTCCTTCTGTTCTGCAGCCACAAGGCATTTTGTATTATTATATATTCTGGCAAAAAATCAGGCCATGCACCTGGAAGCAACTCATGCAGAGAGCTCATGGAAGTGACAATAAAGATTCTATTCTATTCTATTCTATTCTATTCTATTCTATTCTATTCTATTCTATTCTATTCTATTCTATCCCTATCCCTATCCCTATCCCTATCCCTATCCCTATCCCTATCTCTATCTCTATCCCTATCCCATTCCTCTGCCCTGCCCTGCCCTGCCCTGCCCTATTCTGTGGCATCTCGGGGTATAACTTTTTCCCATGTTTATGAACTTAAGCACCACTGTGCCTTAACCAGCCTTACCCAATCTGTTTCCATCTCACTAGCCAGAAACTAAACTGTGGCTATTCCAAAGCAGAAGCTGCGGCCACCTCCAAATATTCAAGATCGGACTTATGGGCTTTAAGGAATACCCCCCATTCCTGGAAGTGGCCCACTGGCCTGGCTAAGAAATACCTCAAAGTCGGGTCCTGGGATCCCGAGAGGTGGCACAAAGGCATTGGGGAATTTTAAATTTTGTATTGGTATGTGTTTTAATTCTAGCTGTGCACCGCCCTGAGTCCACTGGGAGAAGGGCGGTATACAAATTGAATAAAATAAATAAATAATAAATAAATGTGTATGATTTAGTAAGTGCATCAGGCTTAATTAAACATTGCTGAGAGCAGTGGTGGGTTTCAAATTTTTTTACTACCGGCGTGGCTTGGTGGGCGTGGCAGGGGAAGGTTACTGCAAAATCCCCATTTCCTCCCAATCAGCTGGGATTTGGGAGGCAGAGAATAGATAGGGCGGGGCCAATCAGAATTTTTACTACCGGTTCGCCGAACTACTCAAAATTTCCACTACCGGTTCTCCAGAACTGTTCAGAATCTGCTGAAACCCACCTCTGGCTGAGAGTCTTCAGTGGACTTTATCCCTGCATGATGAGACTGTTTAAACTGCTCATGCCCCCACAGAAGCAGACATGTGACATTTTGGCAGAGCTGTGGAGCTGAAGCATCTTTTGTATACTTAAATTCAGCTTTTTTAAACAAGGAAATCCACCGAAATTCACAGCATTCACAGCTTCTTGTGAGAGAGCCTGTTGGTACACTCTTAGAATCTTCTGAGAACTCATTTGCTTGTACAATATATAGTAACTAGAAAAACAGTTGCTGTGTTTGAAAGCGATACTGCTAAACCTGGAGAAAATATTACCTTTCTGGTTGTGGGTAGTTAAGCAAAACAGGAGGTTTTTTTTATAGGTGGAAAGAAACAGAGGTTGAGTAATTTGTGTATGAGAAATAAGCTGCAAAGCACTGAATTTGTCATAAATCTTTATGGTCACGTCCACATAGTTTATAAAAATTTAGTGTATAGTCTGGTCTGTGTGTATGTGTGTGTGTAAGAGAGACAGAGACAGAGAGAATATTTTTGAAAAGCTGCCCTACCTCATCACTTGGAAGTAATCTTTATTCTCTAAAAGCAATTCTAGCTCCATTTTATTACAAAAACCTAAGTATAACTTAGACCAGGTATGTCCAACCTGTGGCCCACAAGCTGCATGGGGCCCTGGATATCTATTAATGAGACCCCACAACATCATAAACTTTTAACATTACTATGTGATTTTATATTACAAAACTATATTGTATATTTGATATGCGGTCCAAGACTATTCCTTTTCACTCAATGTGGCCCAGGCAAGCCAAAAAGTTGGACACCCAAGATCTAGATTATTGCAGATAAAGCCTAGCTTTTGATTTTGCAGTAGGAAACCTAAACCAAATCTAAATCAGAGGCTGAGCCTTTCCCTCTTGCACACCACTCTGTTCTAATGCCATTGAATTTTTTTCCCTATTTATTGCAGTAAAGACTGTGGTAAATGAATAACCAGTAAGAGACCATTTAGCACATGGTTCATGATGGAGCCACACACAGGGCTAAGAAGCGTAGTAGCTATTTATTCTGACAACTGGTGATTGTCTTGATATTGCCGCTGACGGCCTCTTTACTGCCCCTCCAGCAAAATGTAGTTACTTTTTTACTTAAGGCACCAAATGAACACGGACATTATCTCTTGCTGCTCACCAATGGGTGCATAGATGGGAAATGGTGTGAAGGTTTGCCGCGGGGGATGGTGTCCCTTTCCCCAATGTCTTTACTAAGAAAAGACAATTTCTGGACTACATACCAGTGGTGGGATTCTACCGGTTCAGACTGTTTCGGGCAAATAATTAGCTCCGACTTTTAGCCGTGAACGAACTGGTTCACTCCAATTTTGAAGTGGGCCCGCCCACCCGCCCCTGCATTATACTCACCTATATTTCCATTTCCGAAGCCCAGCTGATCGGCGCAGCAGATTGGGTTGCCACGCCTCAGCTGTTTTCCTTGGCAGCAATGCATAAGATGAGTTTTCTCCAAACTGCACACGTGTGCAAAGCGCGTGCTTAGCGAACCGGTTGTTAAACCAGTAAGATCCCACTCCTGCTACATACTAGCGTTCTCAGGCAAAAACGGGGTTGAATACAGACACTTCTGGTGGTGTTAAACCTGCACGGTACAAAAACGTCAGATATCCTTGGTTTTGCGTCCAGCTCTAGTGACACTTTGCTCTGAAAAGAGCACACAGACGTGAACTCCTTCTACTACACTTCACAGTCTTGGCATTTGCGTTTTTCGCCTCTCTGCTAGACACCTACGGAATCGTTCTGCTTGTTGCCCCGGCAACAGCATGCTTTAAAATATAGCAATTTCTATCTTTCTGTAACTGTGCCTGTTCACCACTTGTATCAAAACCCTCATTCCTGATCACAACCCAGTTTCATGAGTTTTCAGTGTTATCCACCCAGCCTGAGATTTTGCACATGGGAATTGAAACAGGCTGGGTTGGAATTCAAGGGCACCGTCCTTTTCAGAATCAGAGAATCAGGCTTGTAAGCTGCAAAGGATAATAATGTATTTTAAAAGTCTGTTGTATCACAAAGAAAAGGTGTTTACATGTTAGAAATAAGGGTTTTCTTCTGAATTTCTATGGGGGGGGGGGGCGCAGTCAATTGTGAATGGAAGAAATAGGAGTTTGTCAAGAAAGTCAAGATGGAGTAAAAATCAATCAACTTTTTATCAGAAGGTAGATGGCATCTACAGAGAGAAAGAAGTCAAAAAAGGCAAGATGGTGGCCATAATCACCTAAGCAACTTTCCATCAGGAAATAGACATCCTGTCTATGGAAGAATAGCAAAAGACTGAGCAGCTCATGACCTTACACAATTAAAGCCCCAGCCCTTTTAATGTATGTTATGTTTGCAACGTATGAAAAAAGGGGTAAGGCGTCAATCACACAATTGCAGCTGCCATTTTGGTTTTTTTTTCCTTAAGAAAGACTGAAAGTATTATTAAGGAGTTGAGAAAGAGAGAACTATAAGAGATGGATATGAGGGAGGGAATATTTTTTCTAATATTACTTTCCTGGGAAAAATAATAATTAGATGATTTTTATTGGACTAGTTGATCCTCCTGAAAAACTTTATTCAATCGCGGCCTGCAGGCCACATGCAGCCCTGGACACCTAGTAATGTGGCCGCACAAGTTCATAAACTTTTAACCTTATTATGTAATTTACATACATTAATTATATTACACGTTTTATATGTGGCCCACGACAATTCCCCTTCACGCAATGCGGCTCAGGCAAGCCAAAAGGTTGGTCAGCCACCTATGCTTTTGATCAATCTTCCAATCTGATGCCTTATAGATATGTTACATTTCAGTGTCAGAATTCTTAAGCAGCATCTTGGTTTAGATTCTGAAGTTGGCCCAGTGCATCTGGAGGGCTCTTAAATTGGAGAAGATCTAGATGAATTTAGTTGCTTTTAAGGATTTTATTATCTATAGTCCAGGGCCTCTCGTTCCAGCCCAACTTTCCTAAAGCCTGCAAAACCTTTCCTAAACTTTGTAATTAGCATTGAGAACACCAGCAGTGCCTTGGCAATCATATAATTCAGCACATTAAAAAGATTACAGAGAGAATGAAGCCAAGAACAGGGAATTTTATTGTGGCAAAATGGAGAAAAGAAAATATGGGGAAACAAAGTAAAGGAAATAGCTACATATACATTTACAGTAAAGTCGGTCTGACCTATATAGCTATAGTTTATCAACTTACGTAAAAATATTCCAGCAGATGTACAGAATTTTTTTCAGGAAATCTGTACTGAATGAATATAAATCTTTAGAGACCACATTTGGTTTTCTCATTTGGATAATTTCAGGAACTAAAAGGATGTCCCATATTTTGAAATTAGCAAAGCCCAGACTCTTTAAAAATGGCAAAATAGAATTTGGGCTAAACATGAGAAAAGCACAAACTCTGCAACAAACAAAACATTTGCTTACAGAAATTTTTATTTTTCTGAATGGTTCTATACTTCCATAGCAAAACGGAAGTTCATTTAGTTCTGATTTATTAGATCATTTTAAAAAAACATGGTATTATATTTTGATGTTTGTTAGTCAAACAATTGAGTTGTAATCAGAATAGTCATAATTTTACTAAAAGTAGACCCTAAAGTCCAATGATTATAATAAAATTTAACTAAGCATGAATAATCCCAACCGACCAATCCCAGAATATTGCTCATTAAGGACATCTTTTCAGGAATGTTCAATCCAAAACAATATGAAGATTCAGAAAACCCGATTGCAGAAAATATGACTTCAGTAAGTTTCTGACTTCTGTAGTTTCTTCCCCAAATCCCCAAAACTTTAACCTTAAACTGTTTACTGTTGACCTCACCCCATTCCTAAGAGGTTTGTAAGGGGCATGCATAAGTGCACCAGCTTGCCTACCGTCCCTGTCCTAATATTCCTTTTTTACTTACTCATTTCATGTATTCAAATTATGTTTATACTTTTACCTGTTATCTTATATCTGCTTGACAAATAAACTTATGATATGATATGATATAATAATCACAAGGCATGTATCTCATCTGAAAAGCATTCAGAATAACTTGGCTTCTTTGGGAGATGAATAATATAAAAAAAGAAAAAGGTGGCGATTGTGTCATTTGCCAATAGATAGTACCGTGTTTCCCCGAAAATAAGAGCCTGTCTTATATTTTTTTGAACCCTGAAATAAGTGCTTGGCTTTATTGTCATGTGCTCAAAAGCCCGATTGGGCTTATTATCAGTGGATATCTTATTTTGGGGGAAACAGGGTACTTTAACATAGTCTTCTGGATGATTTCATCCAGTGGCTTCATGGAAACTAATGGCCTATTTGTGCTTGAAGAACTTCAGTACACCTCCTGCTCAAGAACCATCATTGAAGTCAACAATACTAGGTAATTTTTGTCCAGTTTCCAACCTCCCCTGAAGGCTGTAGAGAAAGGTCAGACTGCAGCTTCAGAAGGCCTTTGAGGAAATTGATTATTTTGATCCTTTCCAGTTAGGATTCAGCCCTGACTCTAGCACCAAAATAATCCTGATGACACTTGCAAATGACTTCTGGAAGGCATGGGAGTATAGTGATGCATCCATTCTGGCCTCCTTGATCTCTATGTGGCTTTCAGAATCAATGATGTTGTCCTTCTAGGTCAGCTTAGGGGGACAGAATGGGAGGTACAGTAGAGTGGTGGTTCTCCTTCTCTGGGGCCAGTTCTATTTGGTGTTGGTAACTGGAAGAACTCAAGCCCTTGATCTGTGATTTGTGGAGTTTTTCAGGGCTGTAAATTCTCCCACACCTATGTAACCCCGCTAGCATGGGTGATGATCCTGATGATACTCTGATGTATATCTCCATCTCTGGTCCATCAAGTGTTGTTGTCAAAGTTCTTTCTCAGTGCTGGGTGAGGAGAAAGACTCAATTCTAGTAAAACTGAGAGGTTGTAAGTTTTAGGGCTTCCTAATATTGGAGACCTTTCTTTAGTTTTGAATGGTGTGGCATTCTCCAGGCAAAAATAGTATATCTTCTGGACTCTCAACCTTTGTTTGAGCAGATGGCATTTGTGATGAGGGGAGTTTTTGCACAAATTAATTTCATGCACCAACTGTACCCATTCCTAGAGTAGGATTTCTTGCTCACTGTCACTTATAACTTAGTCACACTTCATTTGGATTATTGTAATATACCTTACATAGGGATGCCCTTAAAGACCACTTGTAAATGCCAACCAATCCAGAATGCAGCAACAACATCCCTCAGCACCTTGTTACATTATTATTTTGGGAACTGTACTGGCACACTGGGTTTCTGGGTGCAATTCGAAATGCTGGTCATTATTTTTAAACTCTATCATAGTATGGGGGGAGCATTTACAGAACCGTCGGTCTCCCTTCTCTCAGGAAATGTGCCTTTTTTGTTGCTCTTATTGCAACTCCTTCCATCTCCAAATCTGTTAGGTTTTGAAAGGCACTAAAGTCTTGGCTCTTCCCATGGGTATTGTGTTAACCTGTTGATGAGTCCAACTCTGGCATATATTTTTTAATGGAGATGTTTTATGGAAAAGAATACTAGTTCTCAATTGCTATTTGTTTTGCTTCCATCTTTCATCTTGGGTTTTAAGTTTGTCGTAAACTTGCAGTATTTTGATTTGGGCAGCCGTATAATTAGAAGCATATTTTTTTTTAATGACCTGTAATCCCTTTATTTGGGGCGGAGTCTGGGCGAATGCCTTTCCTAATGCCCATATTTTCTCTTTGTGCCCTGATAGAGAAACATCTGTCACTGCCAAGGATTGAACTCTCAACTTTCCAGGTGGAGGGTCAGTGTCTTCTAACACAGAAATACAATCTAAATTCTAAATTTCAGGTAGCAGTAAAACCAGTGCAAGGGAGATGGACACCAGAACATGAGTCCAATGAATATCTTAATTTAAAATTGCTGAGAGATCCAGCAAGTTATTTTGTTGAATTTTCCATTTCACTTGCAAGTCATCAAGTCATAAAATCAAAATGGCTTCTATTCTATGCTCAGGCAGAAAGCCAGACTGAAATAGATATCAGCAATTAGTGTCTTCCAGTACTCATAGCATGATGTGAAAAAAAGCACTTCCTTTTGTTATTTGGGAACTTGTATCTTCCCTGATTAATTGAAATATAATATAATATAGAATTAAGCATTGTTGACTTTTAAGTAATCAACAGAGCTTTGCAGAGGATATGGACTGAGTGCAACAGTGCAACTGCTCTCTGTTTTTCAATCCAATCTGGCAATAGAGATTTAAGATAAACATTTACTATTTTTTGGAAAATTGCCCTCCATGATAGGTCTACTTATCTGGATTCCCAACATGCAGACATTCTGCTAAATGGTAGAAAAGAGCTACTAAAACTTTGTCCCTAACTATTGCATGTCTGGATTTCTTCTGCCCAGATATGGTTGTCCTACTTCTAAGAAGACAGTTAAACAGGAATAACATTTTTGACTGTCCTTCCCTTGGAGCTTGACTCTTTGAGTTTTGAGTCTTTTGCATAGTTCTGTCTCTGGGATCTAAAAAGGGCAACTACAACACAATTCTTTAAAGCAAATATAAGAAATTAGGTAAATTAGGGACACTCTGTGGTAGCCAACTGAATTTTTGCGAAGAATATGGGTTTACCTAAAAACTGATTTTTGCAAATGCTAAAACTGG